TGGGCTACTCTTTTTACCAACGAATAGTGGGATTGACTGTCACATTATAACACCCCTACGGCTGAAAAGGCGAGCATGTTTGGTGTGAAGGGGATTCGAACCCGCACACTGCGAGTCGAGGGCCCTAACCACCTGTCCATGCCGGGCCCCCTAGTTGTTTAGTAAGTAATTAACACAGTCTCTGTTTGTAAATGTTAGTTGCACTTTCCTTTTTCTGCTGTCTACTTTGAAAAAAATATTTCTTCAGTGAAGCAAACATTAAGATGCACAGCTACTAGTCATGCCAAGGCATACATTTAATTAATAAAAATTGTATGACAGATGTAACAAGGAGCTGTTTGAACGAAATATTACTGATAACAGACACCTCTATATCAGTAATTCGACCAAAGAATTTTAGCTTTTTTTTCAGCTAATTTTTGTGTTCTTGTAAATAATACACGTGTCAGTTTCGTCTATCGCAACTCGGTTAATTAAATTTAAGTTGAACTTAGTATTAATTATGATTTACGTTAAATTATATATATATTGTGAAATATATTAGAACCGTAATATGACGCATACTTAAAAACAACTTCCCATACAAGCCAAGGGTATTTGTAGAAAAGTATGTATTAAATAATACTTAGTCAAAATATTGTAAACAACAAACACTGATGATTATCTGTATTTATTTACGGGAAGATCTAAAAAGCCTGTGTCTTAGAACATGGAGCTTAGGTTGGCCTTTTAGTAGGGCTCCAGATGTCGCTGCTGGCGAGTCGGTTTTGAATCCTCGCGATACCACAAAATATACTTTAAATTGTGGGTGTGTAATAAGAGGAGACTTAATCCCTTAGCGTGGATGGTAAGCACTATAATGCCGATGGCTTGCTGCCCTCCCTCTTCTTAGTTGTTCAAAGTTATAGGCTTATTAGCTTTGCGTAGATGCAAAATAAATATTTTACAAAATATGATTTAAATTCAAAAGATGAATTTAATAAAGTTTTCTTTGAATAAAAGTGCCGAATTTTAAAGCAAATTTTCAATTTTGTATCGACTTACCTTTCTATAATTAGTTCATCAATTTTCAACTATATGTTTGTTTTACGTTCTACCAAACATGCTCGATCTTTCAGCCGCGGGGGCGTTATAATGTGGCGGTCAATCCCACTATTCGTCGGTAAAAGAGTAGCCCAAGAGTTGGCAGTGGGTGGTGATGACTAGCTGCCTTCCCTCTAGTCTTACACTGCTAAACTAGGGACGGCTAGCGCAGATAGCCCTCGTGTAACTTAGGGCGAAATTAAAAAACAAGCAAACAGACAAACATACATTTGTTTTAATTATCGTTTACCAATAACAGAATAAGTCGAGTTTAAGTTTGTGTTGTTTTATTTTCATACCAGAGTCTTCTTTCTTAACGTAATACTTTTCTTTATTAAAAAAAAGTAGAAGAATAAATTTTACGCTGGCCCAACTACTCCATTGTAGTCGTTATAAGACAAGCAGTAAGGGGCGAATTTACTCATTTTCGTCTTGAGGGAAAGAAAATTTCCTTTCTCTCTGAACATCTTTCGTATATCCATCATGACATTTCTTCAGTTTTGGCATTGTTTATTTTTGTGATGTTAGAATTTGGTGTGAAAGTTAACTTTGTAACATATCTGTTTGTTGGTTGTATTTGTGTAGAATGAGAACGATTGCTATATTTAGTAATTATGAATGTACTGAATGTGTGAGCTCAATTATTAGTTGAACACCAAATGTTTTTGAAAGCGTTCACTAACTTTACAAAGTACATTTATGATGGTTGTATAGAGTAATCGCGTTCGCCCTGAAAATTTATCGTAATTATATGTGTTAAATGCTGGCTGTTGTTTAATGTAATAATGATTCACAGAACATCCAATCCCGCTGCCTTAACTTCAAGTTTCTGTTATAAGAAAACTCTGGGTTTCGGCCGTTAACCGTTCTGCTTCAAGAAGCTGACTCACGTGGAAAGCAGTAATATTCTTCCGTGATCATTGTAGCCTAATCAATTTTTAAAAAATCTGAACTCATTAGTTTTTATGTTTATGTTACGAAACTAGAGACTTGTGCACTATTACATTTTGTGATAGATTTAGTTTTGTTGGAATGCCTTTCTTTATCATACCTAATCACTGTAATAGTCTGACAAAATTTGATAAAACGTGTCTTCGTAACATTTTTCTTTACAGTTTTTTGTAAGATGTATTTAAGAAATAGCAAAGTTTTAAAGCGGTGTAGGTTTCACCGTACCTTCCAAGAATAGTTGTAGTGGATTTTTTATTAAAAATTTAGTTGTTTTTAATCCATCTTTTAAACAATATGCTATTGATGGATTGAACATAATTTAATTGTAGTTAAAGTATGCTAGCTTTATGTAGGAATGGGTTGTTGTTGTTTGCTATTGTATGAATATATTGTATGGTGAATCTTGTGCAATATTTGGAATGGTGTGAGACTTTCTATGACGATAGTAACATAACGATGCACTCCCGGTAAAAAGGTGTGATGTTTTTAAAGAATTACATTTCATTTGTGTTTGGTTTACTATAAAAACGTTCAGTTGACTTAGGCTTACTTTCAGAAATAATTAGTTCTATAATTTAATGAACTTTCTTTAGAAGTGTCATTTTGTATGTGCAGTGTCGCATATATTTGGAACCAAAATCGACCTGTTTAAATAATATATATGACCAAAACACATACGAACAAGTAGGCAGCAAAATACGTGAAACCGAAGTCAAAAGAAAATGATGTTTAATGCTGCGTGTATCACGATTTCTTTTGTATCAAACAAATTGATCGTGTACTAAAAATAATGGAAGGGGCGGCCCACACCCCTATTTAGAGAATTCAAGTTATATTTATTCTGACCTTTGTAATTTTATGATAAATATATTTTATTTCATTTTACTTCACCAATAAAGTTTATATACTGTTATATGTTATTATTCAACTTGTAAGATATGTTGTTGGCGACATTCTAGTGTATCATGAAATGTATAAATTGAAATTAACGTTTCCTCAATGTTTCTAATCTATTATTAATTATTTATTTTAGACGTATTCTGTGATTTAATTGTATTCATTTTATTTTTAATGAGTTACCACATTCCGAATTATTCATAACTCAAGTACAATATGAGTTTTCTTGGTTACAGGTTTGTCAGAGCCAACAACTACAAGTATCCAGAGACTTTGAGCAGAACCCCACTAGCGGCTCTCAACAGCAGCAGCAGCAGCAACAACAACAAATTGCCATGTTCTCAACTTACCCTCACTCTACCACTGCCCCCAAGCCACCCTTTCAAATGACCATGTCACAAGCCCAATCCCTCAGTTTTTCAAGTCAGTTCCCTGGTGGTAGCGGTGGCAGTAACAGCGGAATACCTTCTCGTGAGGACATGTGCCAGCAGATAATGAAACAACAACAACAAGGAATACAGCAAAACAGCATAGCTACTTCTAACACACAAAGAGAAGCCCAACTTCAACAGTTCATAAACAGGCCTCCACCTGAATACAAACACCACATAGTTACCAATCAAGTGCTTCCTCAGCATCAACGAATGATAACAAATAATTCTATGGTAGGATTGAATCCAACTCAAACCTCTCAGCGGTTTGTACAGCCTACCGATATTTCCAGAAGAGGAATGTTATCCGAAACCGCGGTGCACGCTTTACAACATCCTTCTTCTCAAGTTCGGATGCTAGTAAGAGCAAGGCCACAGCAAGGTGGAGTTCCTACGTCACATATAGGCATGGAAACTGCATTGGCAAATTTCAGTCAAACAGCAAATCCCACTCATATAAACATAACATCTTCAAGCCCTAATGGCCACATGACTCATACGAGACCTACTTACAGCAACTCCCTTCCCCGCTCCCAACGGCCTCCAAACGTCAATGTAGGACCTGAGGGATTAAACATATCTCAAAGAGCAGCAGCTCCAGAGTGGAGACATTTGATCTTGCAGCAGCAGCAAACACGTGTTAGGCCCGTAAACCAATCTGTTAATCCCATGTCATTTCCACGAGCATCGCAAGGGACTATGGGACAAAATATGGCGTCTCCTTCTATGAGCATATTAAATAATCAAGTGGTCCCGAGAACTGTGATTCCCCAACATGCGATGAGAGGCGTCACTTTGGAATCAGTTCAACGATCCCATATACAGAATAACCAAATGCTTATGCACCAACATCAACAAATGGCTTATCAACCTGGAATGAACCCGATGGACAACACTAGCGGTCAACATAGCAGTATGCAAATGTCGTCAGCTGTACCGTTGTCAACCAGCAACTTGACCAGTCAAGGACATATTTACCCAATTAGTGGCAGTACCAACTCATCCAATCAAGCAGAAGATCCGTCACATTTCAATTTAGATTTCTTAGATAATAACTTTATTGAGAGTACAGCCACAGACTTACTAAATTTAGATCCGGTTCTGAATGGTGGGAACAACAGTTTTAACCTCTTAGACGAGATGGGTATGTTGAACAAGTGACCCAGATGTTACGTGGGAAAATGCAGTTTCATTTAGACTAAATTACGTGATCTGAACATTATCGATTTCTAACTAGTTATCCAGGTCCAATAATTTTCTTCGCCTTTCGTGTCATTTTATGGAAACTGAGATCACATCATGCGAC